ATGAACTTGTGAAACTGCACCAGTAACACACTACAGGAAACACTTATCCAGGCTTACTTTTCCACACTGCCCCATCAATCACCTGCATTAATAGTGTTCTGTTCCCTTAAATGTGCTTGCCTTCAGTACTGACACCTTCCTGCAAAAAAACATGCCAGGATCTTCCAAACCTATAATAAAAAAAAACTCTTAAGCAGTCTTCCTAATTAAAAAGGAATTATTTTAAAATTTTATTTAAAAATTAAAAAGGATTTGGATTCATAGAAGCAGCATCATTAAATTTACTTCACAGTTCAAAATGGGAAAAAAAAAGATAATTGACATGACAACCACCACAGTTACAGCCATTCCTTCATGTGAGTCCAGTTCTGACATCCAGGAGCATCTGCTTGGAAAGTCAAATGGTGCTGGACATAAGTCCCCTTACATACCTCTGATCTCAGGGAGAAACAGGTGAAATGAATTCTGTTAGTCCTCATTTGCTAGCAGAAACTAACATCTCGGGGACAGAAGATGATGAAACATTGATACAACCAGTTCTTTTAAGGACTGAAATTTCCTGATTTTTGGCTTGAAGAACTCATAGCTGGTGATTAGCAAAGATACTCTGTCACTCTACAGAGAGCAGCCAACTGTAAGACAACTCCGCAGGCCAGGCCTCTGAACTTACAGTTTTCTTCCAGGCCCAGCGCTGGCTAAGCATGTGGATGGACTTTGTAGTTCTAGAAATACAAGTTCGTAGACCAAACACTCTTCAACACACAGACAGAACTGGTTGAGCTTCAGAGCAAACTAATAATGTTGGTTGGACTGGGCGTCTCCTGTATAATGATGCTCTTGGCTACCTTATCTTCTTGACTCTAACACAAGTAAGTTGCTGTTGTATGTACCTGCTTTGGACAGAGGAAGAGGACGGCCTCATTCCTGCCTGCTATTAGGAGGCATAATGCTGTCTTCTAAGACCGGAGGGGAATGCGTCAAAGGTATTCATTACTCCTGGGCACTCAGAATCACAGGAGATTATGCCAGATCTGATCCAAAAACTGACAGAACCCTTAGGACTGGAAAGCGCTAACATTTAACAGAATTACTTTTCTTTTCAACAAAAGCCTTAGGAGAGTAACTTCTCAACCTATTACAGAACAGTAACTACAACAGAAACGTTAACAGTCACCATCTCTTTTATCAAGTTATTGCCACTTTAAATTAAAAATCTGCCGAGTATGTAGCAGACACAACTAAATTCTGTCCAGTTGCACAGGGCAGAAGAAAAAAATGAAGGCCACTTAAGCATTCTGATGACAAAACACCTATAAGGAGGAGGAGCCTGTAGTACAACTGCTAGGTAGAATAATTCAATCTCAAATGCTTGAGCACTTCTCTGTCAAAAGTGAAATCCCGGGAAACTACACTCCTCAAAACCTGTGCTTCTATATGACTATGCTGTGCAATTGCACACAGCTTTTACAGCACTGTCTGTGGACAGCAGGCCAGACTGACAGCAGCTCAGTGACTCTTTGAAAACTTTAGGGAAGACAGAAAAGATCTGCTGACTGGTGCCACAGGAGTGAGAAGCATGAGCGCAGTAAGGTGAATACTGTGCCGATGACATTCACAATTCAAAATTGCTTCTAGGCTTCAAAGACTGAAGAGCGGACCAGGATAACTGGATGACAATCCTGCAGGCTTTGTGTGTTCAAAAGCCTGTCTGGACTTCCAATTATGTTAGCTAAACTACTGCTTCTTGTAAAGTTCACTCTGTGAGGTTCTTTTTGCTTCTCTCAGCCTTGTCTGTGGAGACATGAGCACAGATTCACACTTGCTCCCACTCTCCATCCCCAAAGGCTCACGGTGGTTTAACCTTAAGGGACCTAACAAGTACAGTACTGTGAGTTTCCCTGCCCATGAGCCAGCATTGCTGGTCCTGTAAGGAGTGTTTTACGTTCTACAAACCTTTGGGAACAATGCACTGGCTGTGCTTCCAAGCGCATGAGGTGGGCTTCCTGGCACTTTATATACACCTTTATTTGCTCTGACTAAACCTAATTTGGAACACAGGGCCTTTAGGACGAAAACATTGCAAAACACTCTCATCACAGCAGTTCCTGGTGACGGCAACACATAAGGTATTCACAATACCTTCAGCCAATGTCAAACTGCAAAGACTGAAGTACTACTAGTCCAGCTGAAGATCTGCACACTCCTACACATAAATGTTGACTTATGCAATGCCCAACAGAAAAAGTCATTGAATCTTTTCTTTTGTGAGTAGGAAAGAAAGGATACATGGAAAGATGGTGAAATGGTGTGTAGAAAATGGATGCAAATCATCAAGATTTCCAAGGATTACTCGAATCACTTCCTGGAGAGACCAAAAATAAACAAAGGAAAAATATTAAAAACATAGCCACAACTCCACTGTCAAGTACACTTTCAAGGCTTGGGGAAAAATTAACATTACTTTACAGTTTGCATGAATCATGGAAGACCAGGTTCTAAATATTCTGCTTTTCCTCCTCCCCTTTTTCTCCCCACTCCCTCCCGCCATTTTAGTGTGCATTGCACTGATAGACTCATAGAAATTTAGGCGAGTGAGTACCTTAATCTTGAATTAACATAGAAGAATTACTATGGAAAATGGGGGTGTGCTTTTAAATTTAAGAAGTTTTAAATTTAATGAGTGTCATTTTATTTTTCCAGCAAAATTTATTTACTCCTCTTTCTCTGAATATTGACCCAAATTAGTTACAAGGCAACTGCAGTTAAGCCCCAACAAACTTCTCCTCTACAAACAAAACTTTTTCCAGTAATACCTTTCAACATTTTCAAAAGGGAAAAAAAAATCATAATTCTTCATATCAATTAAAATCAGCACATTTTCTTCAGTAAGGTTTTCAATGCTATTACTTTGAAGTTTTTTAGAAATTAAGTAATAGGAAGGAGCATTATTAAGCAGGCAGTATATTTGTTTCAATTTCTTAGTAATGGCAGGGTCCTTCTTTTGTTTCAGGAAAAAGATGACAACAATACAACTCATCCATTGTGATCATCATCATTTAGCATTAGATTAACCTCCATCAAGGCAGCTCACCAGTACTGCCACAGCTCCTGAAAAACCAAGAGGGATTAACAGCTAAATCAAGCCTGACAATTTGAAAGTGGTGGTCAGTTTCGAGGTTGAGACTGAAATCCTGGGGAAGAGCTCCTGCAAGAATGACTGAAGAGGAATCAGACAGGAATTGGGTGCAACCAGCTCAACAAACAGGAGTTTCCTTTTGTCCAATTTTAACAGTCAGTAGCTTCTTTGGAATATTTAAAACAAAAGCATTACTCTTCTACACTAAATTTTGCCTGCTGAGGAACATTTTTAATTTGTGTCTTTTTTTTTTATTATTTTTTTCAATGCTCGGACTCTCTAAGGAAGTTCCCCATTACTCACACTTGAAATGCTGCATTTGACAAAATGTTCTCAGTCCCATAACAAGCTTATGATTTGTTCAGCCTAACACCCATCTGAGGTCCTATGGACCTGCCTCAGCTCCTACCTCCAACTCCTTGGCAGCACTTTCAGTGAGGCTGAGTATGGGAGAGCTGTGAAACAAAGAGACAGTTGGAACCATCCCAGCGAAAACACAGTGAAGCTACATTTCAAGTAAGAGTTTAAACTGTAACAAAACATAATTCCCACTGAACAGGAAAAAATACTCAGCGAGCAGATTGATTCCTAATCTATTACTCTTAAAAAGCATCCCTTATTCACAAGGATTGTTCCGTGTGAACTTTCTATCCACTTGTGTTTTGTGTTTTAAGGTCTTGTATTAACTCACTGCCACATGCAGTCAACAACCAGCAGGCTGACTTCTTGGCTTTAACACACATACCTGTTGAAGTTGCCATACCGGATTTTAAATTTGTACACATGCCTGCCAGCATGAAGAAATCTTGTTTCGGGCAATGGAAAGGTGAATGGTTTCAATGACATCTCTCTCCCAGACTAGGAAACGCCAGACTAGGAAAGCAGGAGAGTCAAAGGTTAATTCCTAAAACCTCTCACCACATCTCTTTATGTAGTATGAAAAGATTATATGCAGTTTTTCTTCCAGGGGACATTTGCAAAGGGAATTATCCTACCAGTCAGCAAACGGCTGATCTGAGTGTTCCGTTTTAATAACGACGTGTCTTTGAGCAGGATCCGAGGACAGACCTAGAGCAGCCCACCTCGTCTTCAGCTGCCCTGCAACTGTCCCTGCCGAGGTCCCCGGAGCTTTACGGGCCTCGTGCCATGGGGATGTCAGACCTCCTCCCCTCCCCGCCCCACCAGACTCTTCCGCAGAGCCCTGTGGGGCCCGCGACCGGCACCGGATGCGAAGGAAGCCCGGGCTGCCGAGGATCCCAGCAAGCCCCGAGAGTCCGGCCCGCAGCAGCTCACTGCTCCGCACTCTCACCGCACGTCCCCGGTGCCCCGCGGCCGTCGGCGCAGCCGCGAGCAGCGAGCAATGCCCAGCTGTCCCCGGGGTGGGGCGGAGAGGCCGGGCCCGCCGGGGCAAGGCCGGGCCCCGCTGCGGACGCTGGCCCGGCGTCTGGCCTGCCAGACGCGAGATGGCGCAGCCTTTCCAGAGTCGGGGGCGGCCTGAAAGGCCTCCGGAGAGCTCCGGCGCCTACCGGCCACTGGTCCCACTGTGCCGACCAAGCCCTCACCTCTGGCGGGGCCGGGCCGGGGCTGCGGACTGAGCGGTGCCGAGCGCAGCCGAACCGAGCCGAATGGAGCCGAACCTATGAGAGCCTAGCCGAATCTAGCGGAGCACAACCGAACAGAGCCGAATGGAGACGACCAGCCCAGCCGAGTTCAGCCGAGTTTAGCCTAATCCCGCCGAGCCCAGCTGAGCCCAGCTGCAGCTGGGGAGCGGGAACTTGGCCCAGAGCGGGTCCGCAGCTCTGCAGCCCCTTTCGTCTAAGGGCAACCGGAGCCGGACGTGCCGCTGGCAGGTGCTGGAGCTGGCCGGGGCTGGGCTGCTGAGGTGGCATCTCAGATGAGGCAGAGGCACCGGGAGGCTCCAAGAGGGACTAGACCTGTGAGAGGGGCTAGGGGTCGATCCTGAACCATCACAGTATGTCTTTCTTTTCCCTTTCTGATTCACACAGCGCCCTGCTCCACTTCTGCTGCTTTCTGTTGCCCTCCCTTTATATAGCTGGAACATTTTATATACTACATCTCTTTAAGAAAGACTGGAATTGAAAGATCTTTCCTTTTCCCGCAGTATTAATATCCAGGGACTGATACAGCATCCGTCACTGTCCTGTCAGAGAGGTGAAGTCCAGTTACTATAAGCAGCAGCATGATGGTACCCCTCAGCATTGGTAAAGACATGATGTAGAGAATAATTCAGCAGCTGCAGAACAATTTTGAATTGATTTTCACTGTCTTTTGGTTAAAAAAAAAAAAAGCAAAATAAACTTAGGGAGTCATGAAGTAAATAGATGCATTGATTTCATGCACAAGCAAGAAACTGGTAACTACCAGTGTTCAAGCAAGCAGCTACCACCCTGGAAAACACAGCTTCACTAACAACTCTAACCTTCTCTAACAACACTGAGCCCACCATTCTGGGTGCATCTCAGCAAGAAGGGCTATGTCCTGTTTGAGCTGCTCTTCAGTAGCGAATGGGAGGCTCAAGGTTGGCTTTACAGTAGAACAGCACCCTCAGGAATACCTCCAAGAAATTCTTAGGGTGCACCAAGAGATGCCAGGCACCAGCCAGAACCCAGGAAGAAGAGTGGCCACGAGGTGCTGGCTGGAGGTAACTGAGCTAGTGTTCAATCCTCCGCTTCTTGCTCATCGCAGGACTGGTCAAGCCTGAAGCACAAGGCTGTTTCTACAACAATAACAAAACAATTCATTAATCTCTGACCCAGATCAGGTTTTGCTCCCATTCTAAAAAAGTAGGATTTGTGAACTGACAAAGGTTGAAAACACATGTTCTTTAAATAAAAATAGCTGTCGAACACCGAGGACCTCCAGGTAAATATCTGCTCTCTTGCATTCCTAGTTTCTCATCTTAGGACTTAGCCAGTCCTTCTCCAAGTCTACTGCTAAAAGACTTTGGGAAGTAGACACTCCCTTCAGCAGCTCCAGCAAAGCCTCCCCAAAGGGGAGGTCCAGTAAGTTTTATCTGGGTCTCAATTTCTGCTTGCACACACCAGGAAAAGACTCAGCTTTTGCTGTCAAACATCCACATGATTTACTGAAAAGGCACTTGGCTGTTTTAGAGTTTTATGTATTAAAAATGAGATTAGTGCTTCACTCTTAGAATCCAGGAGTACAGGGTGTGATGGTTGGTTGTGAATTCTCATCAGGATGAACAAAGACAGCAGCCACATGTCGAGAAACTCTTGTGCTTTTAGGAGCAGCTGTCTTAAATCCAGCAGGCTACCTGCTGTGCAGACTCAAAAGCTGCTGGCTAACAAGCCCTTGAATTTGTACAAGAGAGTGTCACAAGTGGTTACCAACCAGCCCTCACTATTGCTCAGTGCCCTTCAATCATCTCTCAGCTCCTCCCAAGGACCTTCTCACAGCTGCTGACTCACAAGCCACAACACAGAGCCACAAGCTCCCCACAGCCACAGCAACTTCCAAACTGAGGATGGAGTAGAACAGGACAGCCGTGTGTGCCCAGGCAGAGTGAGGGAGGGGAGAAACAGAGGCAGAGCAGGGACTGAGGAAATATCACCATTCTGTAGCTCCTGTGTCAGTGCAGCCACGTGGATAGTGCAGAGCTGGAGTCAGCAATGAGAGTGACAGAGAGACAGAGGGACAAGAGAGCGAGAGGGCCCCATGTGCCCCACCCTGCTGCAGCCTCTTATGTACAGGAGATTTTCCCTGCAGAGCCAGCCCTTTGAGGCCTCCTCCAGGGAATGAGTTGAGGGTGGGGACTGAGCTCAAGTCTTCAGGCAGAGCAGAAATTTGGCTCAGGACAATGCTGCTCCACCCCAGCAGGATCCTCTCTTCTCGTCACAGCCTTCCTGTCACAGCACTTGCAATGTCTGAGGCAAACCATGCTTAGGCCTGGTCCTGCACATTCACATCACACCTTTTATACCACCAGCAAGTCTGCTGAAACTTAATACAGAGTACAGAATGTTAAAAATGCACAAAATACCTGATCAGGTCTTGCTCGAGCATCTCTCTCAGAAGGCCCTGGAGATGTTGCTTGGCTGCTGCTGGTGGGGTTCTGAGATGGAGCTGCTTTTCTGTAAGGATGGTCCAATATTTCAAGTTACAAGGCCTAAATATCAACTGTCATAGTCCTTTCCTTGCAGACCATCAGTGCCAGGACTCAAGGAAACAGCATGAAGCTGAGTTGAGGGAGCTTTAGGCAGGATATCAGGAAAACATTCGTGCCCCAGAGGGTGCTTGAGCACTGCAACAGGCTCCCCAGGCCAGTGGTCACTGCAGCAAGGCTTCAGGAAGTGTTTGGACAGCACTCTTGGGCACCTGGTGTGATTCTTGTGGTGTCCTGTGCAGGGCCAGGATCCTGGCAGGTCCCTGCTGCCTCAGCATATTCTAAGAATGTAGGCTGGTCAGCTAAGAAAAAAAAATCAGCATTGACTGTTAATTGCTGAAGAGTTATGAACCAGGTGGGTCGATTCAAAGTCTTCATATAAAGTACTTCCCGTAATAGGGGAACTATAAAAAATAAGAATAGAAAAGCCTTAAGTTAAAGTATAATATTATGCAAGGTAGAAGAGAAATTAAGTTCTAGTGTTTTGTGACCCAGACGAGCATCACAGAACTTCATGGATAATCAAGGTATCCTGGGAGCTTGGCAGACTGCCAGAGTTGATCAATCCTGCTTCCTAATCTGGCATAGCACAAAAAGTCATAGTACTCCATATTCCAAAGTATGCCTTTTGATGCAAATCTTTGTTCTCTGATGCATACAGCAACACACAGAATAAGTGAGTAATGAGAGAGGGTGGATTTGCTAGAAAAGCCAAGTGGAGCCTGCGACAGAATACAGCTACTCTCTACATCCTCTACATAAAGAAGCAGGAAGGAAAATTACTGTGCTAAATAGCAGACAGTGCTGGCATAGGAAAAATCATTTATTGGTGGAAAACTCCCCTTGAGAACATTGGACAATTTTGAATTATTTGAAGCATTGGGAAACAAGAATCACAACTAACATTTGCAGGATACTTTCTTACCAGGGAAAGACAGCAGGATTAATTCTGTCCTCTAAATCTATACAATTTTTTTTCCTAAAAATTCCCAAACAAATCTTATATTGAGATAGCTTGTCATTTAATTTAATTTTGTTCTATTCCTACTCCTAAAATCCCTTTCTCAGTCTCTGCCTTTTCCGTAATGCTTTATTTATAATCTGTTTCAGGAAGACACTGATTTGTAACAAGGAAAAAATATACACTGGGAGTCAGGTTTGGGCTCCAATGAATACCAATAAACACTGTTTATAAAAAAAGGAAGGAGAAGACAGATTGCATTAGGCATCACAGCATAGGTCATTGAATGCCTAAGAAATCAGTAATATGATTTTGAGAACTACAGGATTGACTGTGGCCAGATGCCAGACACCCAGCAAAACCTCTCTATCATTCTACTCCACAGCTGGACAGAGAAGAGAATATATTATGAAGGATTTGTGAGTTGAAGTAAGGACAGAGAGAGATCATACACCAAATATCGCCACAGGCAAAACAGACTCAAATTACAGATATTAATTTAATTTATTACTAAAAAAATAATAGCAGGATAGTAATAAGTAAATTAAGTCTTCAAAAACACCTTACCCCCACCCTTCTCTCCTTCCTAGCTCTACCTCCTGGCACTCAGTGGTGCAGAGAGATGGAGAATAGGGGTTATGGTCAGTTCATTACATGATTCTGCCATTGCTCAGGGAGAGGAGTCCTGACCCTGCTCCAGTGTGGGCCATTTCAATGTTTATGCCCATACATTCCTTTGAAAAATAGATTTACCTTAACTAGGTATTCATCAATACAAATTAACTGGATATATTAAATGCCATATCATTGCATGGAAAAAATAAATGAAAAATGTGCTGTTATTGCTCTGGAAAAAAAAGAAAAAAAAGAAGAAAAAAAAGAGGTAATATGCTGCATCAAATAAAAGGAAAAACTAAAATCTTTTATGAGTTGGACATCCAAGGAGCCTATCTTACTCCTAATGGATGATCCTCCCCGTGGTTGCTGGAAGCTAAACAGTAGGATAGATTTTGACATAAGTTCAATTTCTCTTTAAAATATATATGCCACATGTATTTTAAAGCTAATGTTGGAAAATTTGAGGTAAATTAAAAAAAAAAAAAAAAAGGGTCATACCACCATCAGTTTTCCCCACAGTTAAATCCATCCCAGCAAGAATTGTGGGTGACACTAGGCTTCTAGCAAAGACATAAAATAGGAGATAAAAGGGAATTGATTTCTGAAATTATTACCCATTCAGAAGTTGAAATTAGTTATTATAAGTCTACAGTTATTTCAGTATTTTTGAGAGTTTAGATAGGAAATAAAAACATAGACCAATCAAGCTGTCTGTCATTTAAAAGATTAAATGTGATCAAAAGAGCAAAAATTCTAGAGTTCCTTCTTCCAAGACCCTCTCTTAGTACCGAAGTACAATAGAGTAAATATAATCTTGATGATTAAAGTACCTATCAGACCCATAGGTCTGATAGCATAGGATGATAAAATCCATCAACAAATTTTTTGTTTCACAATACATGAATATTTAATTCTTTTATATGGAATTGACTTTTTGTGTACCTCATATTTACAGTAAAAATAATGATCTCTGCTAGTAAAAAGTGATTTTTATGACAAGATATCAGATTCTAATATTCTTCAATAAGGATATTTTAGATATTCCATACAGGAAGGGTATAAAATTTAATATGAAATGCACTTAAGATATTTTGTATTAAATGAGATATTTGATTTAGCAGTTATTGATACCAAATATGCAAAAAATACAATATGAATTTAAGATGCACTTTATAAAGTACATGAATTACAATACACAATTCAATCTCAACACCAATGTGATTCACAGAATGTTTGAAATTGGAAGGGTTCTCTGGCGGTCATCTGGTCTGAGCCCCTAACTGAGCACAGACACCTAAAGGCAGGTATCCAGAACCATGCCCAGGTAGCTTTTGAATATCTCTAAGGATGGAGAAATCATAAGTTCTCTAGGCAATCTGTTCCATTCCAGTGCTTAGTCAAAAAGTGTTTCCCAATGTTCAGGACAAATCTCCTGTGTTTCAGTTTGTGCCCATTGTCGCTTGTCCTCTTACTGGACATCAGTGAAAAGAATTTGCTCTGACCTTTCCGCAACTTCCTTTCAGTAATTTATGTACATTAATTAAGTCCCCTTGGAGCCTTTTCTTCTCTAGACTAAGCAGTCACAACTCTCTCCATCACCAGGTGAGACTGATTGACAGATGATTCCCTGGGGCCTTATTTTTGCCCTCCTTTAAAATGTGAGTTGCTTTTCTCCAGTCTTTGAACACTTCTTCCTGTTGCCAGGATTGATCAAACATTACCAAAAATGACTTGGCAATGACATCTGTCAGCTCTTTCAGCACTCATGGGAGTATCCCACGGAGGGCCCATGGACTTCCCAGGCAACCAGTGACAGGACAAGAGGACACAGTCTTAACCTATGCCAGAAGTAGTTTAGGCTAAGCATTGGGGAAAAAATTCTTCACGGAAATAGTGACTGGCCATTGGAATGTGCTGGCCAGGTAGGTTGTGGAGTCATTGTCCTAGATGTGTTTAAAAAAAGACTGGACATGGCTCTCAGTGTCATGGTTTAGTTGATAAAGTGGTGTTAGGTTGGACTCAATGGTTTCAAAGCTTTTTTCCCAAACTAGTGAATTATGTGATTCCATTACTTAGGTATGACCATCCCTAAACCACAACACTCATATTTGCCTATCTCTATTGACCCTTCATGCAATCTTGGGGA